TTGTTGCTTGTCTTTCTCATCACGGTTGGTGGGGGGGGGGGGGGGGGGGGCAGAGAAATTCCTGGAGTTTCAGGGATTTTTCATTTGGTGAGAATTGGGCACTGGTTATGTGTATTTCCATTGTTCTTAAACATATATATATATATATATATATATGGCTTAAATTTCAGATTTCTGAATTCCATGAAGGTAACACTCATAAGCCTCAAGAATTTCCAAGTGCACAGAAGATAAATCAATTAAAGGCAAGTATGAAAATCATATTGTTGTAGTGATACAATGCAATGTTAATAGTATTAAATGGTCTGCCATGGAACAGTGTCACTGTGGGTATGATCACATTGCATTTTGCATATAAATAGCACTAGGACTAGTCAGTAGTTGCTTTGTGCACTTCCTGACCAAGGTCTTGTAGGAAGTAGAATTAGTTTGTTTCACAAGCTGCGCTCATTTCTGAGTCTGTACAGAATAAAATCTCCAGCATGATGTTAGGGAACAATGTGATTCTAGTAGCGGTCTCTGACCGTTGTGGGTCATACCTTCAGTTTACGTGAGATAGCAGGGGTATGTCTATACAACCTCCCTTCCAATGTATGTCTGCTGCTAATAAAATAAGCTGTATCCCACTTGTTTCTGCTTGAGCATACCAGATATTTCCACCAGAGGTGCTTGGCGCCATTCACAGGGAGCAAGTACTCTATACCTAATGATTGATTTTTGGTGGGCCTGAGCAGGAGTGAATGATCAGGGCTTATTTTGGCAGTGGCCAGTTAGGGGGGAGAGGGAAGTTATTCGGACACAGCTTGGATACTGTGATGTGGCAAAATTCCACATGCTGGTAAACTTATTCTGCCTACCTAAACTCCCCTCACAATTGCAACTGGATAAATAGTTGTGTGGTTTCACTGTCCATTTTTCTTATCCTTTATGAGTCCATATCACTTGTGAGTGATATGACTCCCATATAAATGGGTACTTGGTAACTTGGAGAACACTGCCAAATAAATCAGCTGCTGAAACTTTATTCAAACCTCCCAAGTTGTAGTCCTTCTGGATGACTGGTAGGTATTCTGCACCAGACCCCAGCAAATTTAAAATACAGAAAAGGGAGAGAATAATATTATTTAGATGGAAATTTGCTTTTAGAGATGCTTTGGACTTCTAGAGTTATGTCTTTAATTTTCTCCTGCTCTGTGAATAATTTCTGGGGAAGTTGGAGCAATCTTCTAAAAGAAGGGAAGAGATTGTAACAATACTCCCAAGTCTGGAGATCTGTTTCTGTAAACACTGGAGAAACAATTAACCAAAACCAAATTCCCCAAGATCACAAGAAATCAGGGTGTCTCTCTTCAGTTTTGTGTGTATAGATATGAAGGCAAAGGTACTTCAGAAGAAATGAGGTATATTTAGTTGTGAAATAAATTGTGTTAGTTGGTTAGTTTGGCAATAGGACTGTCAGCTAAGTTAACTCAAGAAAAATGTGATGTGGGAAAGCAAGCTGCTCCTAATGAAAGTGCTATATGAATCTATGCCTCTATGCCCCTCCTGAAAAACGAACTCTGAAAAAAACATGTGTAAATACAGACAGCATAGAAAGTCTTACTAAATGTACAATCTATTACCAGCTGTTACTTTCTCACTTGATATACTGAAGAGTTCAGAATATGACAATCCCATAATATAAGAATTGGTTAACTTATCAAGAGGCCTCAGAGAAGAACTTTTATGAGAAATAATGCAAATAAACTTGAAAGGACCTAATGACTGTTGGCAGTGATGTTATTACATCAACATTACTATTATGCTTGTATATGTAGTAGCAGCTAGAGGTCTTAATCATGGTAAGGGTTTCTTTTGGTAGACAATCTACATGTATGTAAGGAAAAATGGCTCCTAGTTTAAAGAGTTCACAGGATAAAATACAAGATTACGCATATAGCCCTTACTCACTGCTACTTGTAAAAGCAGAAAGGGAGCCTGTCTTCTCCTCCACTGACTACTGCACTTATTCCTACACATACTTGCAGTGGGGAAGCTATTAAGAATTACAAGCACACACACAGAACTTCTCCTATTCCTGAACAAAAGGCTTTGCAAAAAGCCAACAGAAGCTTCTTAAATTATTTTCAAATAATAATAAAAGCAAAGGATATAGTTACCATTAGGAAATCCTGTGGAGAGTTCCTTTCATTATATGCAACAATTTAAAATGACATTTAAGACCAGTTTGTGTCTCGCAAGCTCAAACATCATAGCAAATCAATGATTTCTCTCTCACCCCTTGACCATGGTTGCCCTCACACCGTCTAACCTCTTACCATTGTCAGATGAATCTGCTGCAATGTGAGAGGGAGCTGGAAGACAAGAAGGGGGACATGATAAAGGTAACAACATGTCCTTACTTATGAAGAAAGAAATTAATTCCTGTGGCAGACATCTCAGGGTATGATAATTTGCAATAAGGTTGTTAAAATAATCTTATATTGCAAGTTTGGTACTGACATAAGAACCAATGTTGACTTCTGTAGCAACTGATGGTCTCTACCCACAGACATGCTATGGCGTAAGTGGAAGTGCCATAATCCTCCCACTTGTTTCTCTAGTCTGACCTCCCCCTGAACTGGAGAAACCGTCCCCCAAGAAGCAATTTTCCCACCATTGCTGTGGCACTAAGAAGCTTTGTCAGTTGTAACAATGGGAGCGCTATTGTAGATTAGCCTCTAGAACACTGGGGTGTTTAATACTAGTGTTTTGCACTAGTGTAGACAACACAGAAAGCAAAACACCAGTGTCTGTTATGGGCCTAACAATAGTAGTTCTTGAGTCATTGCTACCACTGGTACAACTGGACTAACTGTAGTGCAATGCTTGAAAATTATAAGAATAAAGTGAGAATGGGTAAGATCTTAGGGACACAGGGTAGTTTAGTCTCCATGGCCCACTGAATCTATATTTTCTCCTTTGATATTACCAACAGGCAGGTATTACAGGTACTTGCTGTTTTGCCTTGTGCAGAACATGTGGGCCTTAACATATGGAGAGGATTTTACCCAGCCATTTAGAAGTCAAACTCTCCATATTCCTTTACCTGCCCCCTTAAGTCACCATGTGTCCTTCTAAGGCACTGTACTTTAAATAGTCAGCAAGGGTAGAGTGTTTTGATCTGATGGGTTTCCTTCCTTTGTTTAGTTAGGTTCCTTATTCTTGGTACAGGGTTTGTGTGTGGGGATTTTTGTTAGTGTTCTCAGTTTTAGGGGAGAAGAGGGAAGGCAGCTTTTTCATTTTTCATCAAAACCATAAAATCTAAGTCCTTGTCAAAGCACACTCTCAGACAAGTTTATAGCTGTGGTTTTAAAGGAGAAGTGCAGAGAGATAGCTCTTTCTTTCAGAGAGAAAAACTGATTTGTCTCATTTCCATGTACCCATTTGAATGCTCTGTAGGGCAGCACCTGACAATCTTTTACAAGCCACAGGCTGAAACAACTCGGCTGTGGTTCACCACAGACCAGGTGGCTTTGGCAATGCGTCAGCAGTAGGGGGCTTTGCCTGTGCCACCTCCACTTCCCCCAGCCCCCTGCTCCCCAGCTGCATGCCAGTGGGGAGATGCACTGAGGTTGGGCAGCTAAAATCCGAGTCCTTACCACCACTGCTTCTTACCACCATCTCCCCACACCTACCCCCTCCCAACTAGAAGATGTGGCCAGGGAGTAGGGAGCTGGGGGAAGCCACAATGAGGCCTGACCCTGGTGGAGGCATAAGCAGAGGCAAACCCCCTCCAGATCTGGGGACTAGATCCAGTGTACCCCCTGCTGTAGGATATAGTACAGCTAGAAATGTTTTAACCTTAACTGAGGCCTGGATCCACAAGGTGACCTGCAGTCCCACAACTGCTTCTTGTGTTTTTGGAGAGGGTGCTATGACCTTTGGGTGATGTAGTCTGTTTTGCCTTAGCCTGAATGTATGTGTTGTCTAAGGGAAGGGTTCTGGAACCAGGACCCTGCATTCTGTTGCCTGACTTGGATGTCACGTGTGACCTTAGCAACTGCATGTGAACTTAGGCAACTGACCTAACCTGTCTCCATTTACCCAGGTAGAACAGATTTAATACTGACTCACCTCCTGATGGAATTGTGAACTATACTGATCTTTAAGTACACTGAATACTTGCCAGTACTATGTCAGTATATAACATTTACTGAATGGATAGTGAAGACTATAACAGAATTTCTTTAATCAGTCAAAGAACATCAAAGGTAGACAGAGATCAGAAACAGGCTACCTTGTTGGTACCCTGTAACTTTGGAAAACTTATTCACCTGAGAGATCTTTAAGTGCTAATCATGATAGCTGCCACTGAAATAGAAAAGAAGATAGGGAGGAATCTCACTACAGTTTAACTGTATTAATAATCATGTTTTAAAGAAATATAAAATACAAGTAGTTGATATTCCCCCTTTCCCCAACAAAATGTATTTGTTTTTGTGTATTTTCAGGAAAAGAATGAAATATTTGAAATACAAGGACAAGTGGCAGAACAGGGTAAAATCATAGAGGTATAATCTTATATTAGAAGTCAAAATATTTGATCTTTCTCTGTTTATGTAGTTAATGTGACTCGTTGCTGTAGTCTCTCAGCCCTTCTCAAAATTAACAACAAGAAATATCAAGCAACTGGGTAAAATATAACATAGTTTCGTAGTAGTTTGGGGTCAGAAGGGACCTGAACAGATCATCTAATCTGACCCCCCGCCACTGGTAGGAGCACAC